GTGTGTGTGTGTGTGTGTGTGTGTGTGTGTGTGTGTGTGTGTGTGTGTGTGTGTGTGTGTGTGTGAGCATGCAGCGTCAGTGCAACTCGGTAAAAACACCAGTACCACCAATCCACAACTGCCAAGAATCCCCCACCACCACACACACACACACACACACACACACACACACACACACGCACACACACACACACGCACACACACACACACACACGCACACACACACACAGCCGTGAGTCCAGGGGCGCACCTGTCCTTGAAGGTCCTTGATGCGTTCGGCGGATGCCTCGAGCTTCTTCTCCAATTCGGCGACGGTGGCCTGTGCCGTTTCGCACTCGCGGCGCCACCGGTCCCGTGCCCGTTGCACCTGATGCAACTCAACACTCTCGTGCTGCTGCTGCTGCTGCTGCTGCTGTTGTTGTTGTTGTTGTTGTTGTTGTTGTTGTTGTTGTTGTTGTTGTTGTTGTTGTTGTTGTGTGAGTGTCTCCAGGCTGCGTTGTGATTGCATCAGACTTCCCTCAAGCTGCTGTGACTTGTCCTGCAGGTGGTGTGTATGTATGTGTGTGTGAATGCAACGCAATGAAAGCATGTACAGCACGCACAACATGACCCAACCATTCACTGAAACAAACAAAACCACACACCACAACAACCAGCCCCTCCCCTTCAAACCACACACCACACCAAACACACCAACCACACCTTGTAGAAGGAGAGCTCGTCCATGATGTCTCTCAGCAGCTGCTGCCGTTCAGATTCAAACGCAAACAGCTCCTGTAGCCCCTCCTCCGCCTGCGCACGCTCCCGCTCGCTCTCTGCACCAGCCGTTGCCACGCGAGACGTGGGGCGAAGGAACCAAGGTAAGGGTGGTGGAGTTGGGTACTGAAACGTTAGCCGCACACAAAGTCCTCGCAAGCCATTCCCACGGGAACTGGGAAGTCACCAACACGTATGGTTCGTTCCACACACGTGCACACACACACACACACACACACACACACACACACACACACACACACACACACACACACACACACACATACAACAGGTGCTGGACCTGCGAGCATCTGCGCGGCGTGGTCGAGCCTGCTGGTGAGGCGGTGCATCTGCGCAGTGACCGATGATGCCGTCTCCTCCGCTGTTGCCGCCCGCGACCGCGCAGACGACAGCTCGTGCTCGAGCCGCTGCAAACGCGCAGCGAGGGCCTGACACTGTGGTGGAGAGGTGTGCAGTGTGTGCAGTGTGTGCAGTGTGTGCGTGTTAGTGTGTGTGTGTGTGCAGTGTATGCGTGTTAGTGTGCGTGTTAGTGAGTTGGTGTGCGTGCATCACACAATCGTGATTCAATTATGAGCATTGATACCACCATTATCACGGGCAAGTGCAAACGTTCATCGCAATCAGAGTAGCACCCCCCCCCCACCAAAACACACACACACACACACACACACACACACACACACACACACACACACACACACACACACACACACACACACGCACATGCATATTGCACGCGCACAACACACCTTGCTCTCCCATTCGCCGGCGGTGGTCTTGACAACATCCTCACTGTCTTCAAGCGTGGTGTCTGCATACCCGCTCTCGGCAATCGAGGCGTCGGCCGCAGTCGCGTGGCTGCTTGGTCTGAGCAGCGAGGACGCGTCGTGCATCTGTGTGCTGTGCTGCGCCTGCAGCCGAGCAAAGCGGGATTGCTGCTCCGCGTGCATGCGCTGCAACGCCTCCAGCGACTGGCGCAGCGGCGAGATGCCCAGGGGCGACGATGACAGGTGGTGCGCGCGACGCGGGCTGATTGTTGCAGCTGCTGCCGGCACCAGTTTCGGGGTCTCCACGTTCATCCGCGAGGAGGTGCTGCCTCTGTTGTGCTTAACGGCTGTGTTTCCCTCGTGGCCGGTAACGCTCTCATCGTCAAAGCGAACCTGCTTCCGAGACGGCGACGCAGCTGTTGAGCTGTGCTGTGACGTGCTTTCATGCTGCTGCTGCTGCTGTTGCTGCTGCTGTTGTTGTTGTTGGCGCTGCTTGTGCTGTTGTTGTTTACTGCTGCGGTCACTTTGCGTGGCGCTGGGCTGGGGGTGGTCGTGCTGATCACCCAGCAGCTGCGTCAACGATGCCAGTATCGAACTTTCGCCATCACCATCACCGCCATCACCACCACGAGATCCAGGGTGGTATTGTGGACGGTGGTGAGCGGTTGTTGTTGCTGTTGTTGCTGTTGCTGTTGTGGACGTTGTTGTTGCCGTTGTTGGTGCTGTGGACGTTGATGCTGTGAGCACGTGCTCTCTGCTCAGACTTCTGCGACTGCTGCTGCCGTTGCTTTCTCCACTGCTGCTGCCACGGCTGTCCTTTGTTGGGGACAGCTGTACGTTCTGCAACCGTTTCTTCAGGTCCTCCAGCGTGCGGAAGCTCGGGTGTCCCTCCATCGCCGCCGTTACTTGAGCAGGGGAGAGGGATGACCACACACAAGCCAAGAGAGGCAAGCTACACAAAGAAGAGGGAGATGGAAAGGATAAGAGTGTCAAGGGAAAACAGAAGAGCCAAAACCGTTGTGGGGCAGGGAAAGCACAACCCCTCGAACACAACAGCGAGTCACAACAAGAGCCAAAGGCGACGGAGGAGGTGACATGCGAAGGGAAGGCCGTTAGCACCACACCACACCACTGTTCGAATCGCTTGGCGGCCGTTTGCTGGTCTGCTGTTTGGCGCTGTCGTCGACAATTCGATGATATCTTCCATCAATTATCTTCGACCCAGTCACCTTTGCGATCAGCGGTCTCAAAGAAAGGTACGCAGGACACAAAACAAGCACAAAAAGCAATACAAGCAAGCGAGGACAAGACCAATCGACACACACCAAAGTCGCACGTTGGAGCTGACGGCTGTGGTGGTGGTAAGTGTGGTTGTGACTCAGCCGGAGAGACCACCCACTGTGAACACAAGGAGAGAGCAAAGGGGTTTACCGGCTGCATGCATGTGGTGTGTGTTGTGTGTTGTGTCCATGTGACGAGAGCAGATTTACAGCAACGCACAGACACGCACATATGCGCGGATCATCTGCGGACAGCCACCAACATTTGTGTCGCGTGCATGCATGCTGCAGAACACAGAGAGGGGCATTGGAAGGACAAGGAAGGGACCGCAGCGCTGCCAGTGGAGAAGCCGGAACCGTCCCACACAGCACCATGAGCAGCACGTTGCCGTATTCGTGGGAGGTGATGATTGGCGTGCATGGGTCGAACGAATGGAGCCGATACGATGAGGAGACGCAGGAGGATCTGGAGGCGGCGTTTCGCCGGCATTTGGCAAACCCGGGAAACCCGGCGCACCTGGACCTTCTCCTGTGCAAAGGTATATACTCGGACAAGCCGCCCACGTACAAGGTGAACTTCAGCGCGTTTACCCAGCAGAACATACACACGGGTTACGTCCGTGCTATTCGGAGGCGGCCCGTCCCTGCGGCCTCCACGCTCGTCTCCCTGTACTTTATCGATAGGAACCAGATGCTGGAGTACGTTGGCCCGGAGAACTCTGCCGCGATTCAACTCACGGGGGCGCCCAGTGTGTGGCTTAATTTTGGGCCGTATGGATACACCCCCGGTCGCTACATGGTGTACTGCGACAACATGACTGTCCTCGACACAAACACATACCAAATCCTGAAGCTCACGACAAACGGACAAGACACGTGCAGCAACTTGCACATCCCTGTTCAGCCTTCGACGGTGGACGCGCCATCCTCATCCACCTCGACAGCACCAGCACCACACGCACAACACGCACCAGCACCAAACACATCAGCGCCAGCACAGCCATCGTTCTCACACACTGATGGGGTCGTGCCATCCTCATCGACCCCCTCATCGTCGTCCTCGTCGTCGTCGTCGCTGGCGTCGAGTGCGCCCAAGAAGAGCAAAGTCAAGAAGCATGGCAAGACCAAGGCGAGCGCGTCCGCCCCAAAGCCCGGCAGCAGCAACAACAACACCGGTACTGGCACCAGCAATGGCGAGGCAGGGAGCTCCTCCAAGCCTGTGACCTACGACCCGTCGACCATGGACGTGGCCGGTGATCCGGAAGAGCACCGCGTTGCGTTTCCCGTGCAGACGCGCGCGCTGCGACGGGACACGCACGGCGGGGCGTTTGACGCGTCCCTGACACCGCTGCAGAAGCTGGCTGCCCTGCACGTGGCTGTGGAGCCCGTGACGGCGAGCGACGACCGGTGTCCCGTGTGCATGGCGTCGCTGGTGCCGGGAGGGTGCGGTGACACTACTGATGAAGATGACGATGACGAGTTTGGTGATCCCATTCGCCTTCCCTGCAAGCACATGTTCCATGACGGCTGCATTGCCATGTGCATCAAGGGCCGCTCGTTTAAGTGCCCCGTCTGCCCGACCACATACGGCGAGCCCCCAATGGGCGACATGCCAGAGTACGCACAACCTTGCTGCATTTGTGTGTGTGTGGGGGGGGAGGGAAGGGAAACCTGTGGGTGCGCGTGTGTGTGTGTGTATGTGTCTGTGTGCGTCCGTGTGTGTGTGCGTGTGTGTGTATGTGTCCGTGTGTGTGTGTATGTGTCTGTGTGCGTCCGTGTGTGTGTGTGTCTGTGTGTCTGTGTGTCTGTGTGTCTGTGTGTCTGTGTGTCTGTGTGTGTGCGTCTGCCCTTTGTGATTCTTCTCACCGGTTCTCCTCACCATTTCACCTCCCACCATTGTCACCGCCACGGTACACAGCGGCCAGATGTTTGCGTTTCTGCGCCCGCAGTCCCTCCCGGGCTTCCCGGACACAGAGACCATCGAGATTGCATACAGCATCCCGCACGGCACACAGGTGTGTGTGTGTGTGTGTGTGTGTGTGTGGGTGTGTGTGTGTGTGTGGGTGGGTGGGTGTGTTGACAGACGTCGTTTGCATACACACTCAACGCACTCCAATCCCTCCCCCCTGCTGTCACCTCCACCTTGACCATGCGTGTGTGTGTGTGGGTGTGGGTGTGTGTGTGTGTGTGTGTGTGTGTGTGTGTGTGTGTGTGTGTGTGTGTGTGTGTGTGTGTGTGTGTGTGTGTAGGAGGACCACCACCCGGAGCCTGGCCGCCGCTTTGCCGGCACCTCCCGCGTCGCCTATCTTCCAAACACGCCAAAGGGCCGCAAGGTCTTCAAGCTCCTCAAGGTCTGGTGTGCGCTGTCGGCGTCTGTGTGTGTGTGTGTCTGTGTGTCTGTGTGTCTGTGTGTGTCTGTGTGTGTAAAACCAACACCGTACTTGAGCGATAATGTTTTGACTTTCCCTTGACGCTCTTCCCTCACTGCCATCCCTGCACTATGGCTTGCAGCGGGCGTTTGAGTACCGCCACACGTTCACCGTCAACCACTCCATCACCCTTGGCCCGCACGCCGGCATGCGCGTCGTCTGGTATGTCTGTGTGTGTCTGTGTGTCTGTGTGTGTGTGTGTGTGTCTGTCTGTCTGTCTGTCTGTGTGCATGTGTGTGTGCATGTGTGTGTGTGTGTGTGTGTGTGTGTGTGTGTGTGTGTGTGTGTGTGTGTGTGTCTACCACATGGGCATTTGCTTGAAAGTACAGACTCACCCCCACCCCCACCATTTCTTCGTCGCTTGCGCCCGGCTGCGTGCAGGGCTGGGATCCACCACAAGACGGACTTCACAGGGACGTTTGGGTACCCGGACGAGACGTATCTTGACCGCGTACAGCAGGAGCTCAAGGACTTTGGCATCACCCTCTGAACTCAGAGTACACACATACATTCACATACACATTCACATACATACACATACACATTCACATACATACACATACACATTCACATACATACACACATACACATACACACGTGCAGACTCACATGCATACGTGCGCGTGTGCATGCATGTTTGCATATTTCACGCGAGAACGTTCACACGCACACATGCAGTTCTGCACGCACGCACGCACGCACACACGCACGCCCACACTTGGTTTCGTTTTCGCGTTTGCGTGCAAGGTGTTCGAATTCAAGTGCTTTGCGTTTGCTGCTGACTTTGCTGCCTCGTTCAAACGTTCACATGCGAGCGCGCATCCAACAAGTCGAACACTGTCTTCTTCGCTTTCTTCTCTCACGCGCGCGTGCTTGCATGCATGCATGTATACAATGTAAACGATGTTTATCACGCAGAAAGAATCGTGTGTGGTCAGGAACAGTAGGCAGCACAGCTATGCACATTGCACACGCAAACACATGAAGATGAAAACACGCAAACAACGCACGCGAACACATAGAGATTCAGACGCACACAGGCAAACACGCACCACACTCGCACACACGCGGTGCCATCAGTTTAATCCACGAAAACTTGGCACGTTGCGCACGCCGTTGTCATGTGTGTTAAACGCCGAATATGGCGGTGGGCCATCCAAGTACCAGGTATCACCATACTTGTCGCGCCGTCCATGCTTGGACGACTTCATCGTCGGCGCCTTCGGCCACTCGTCCGGCAGCTGTGCCTCGTCCACGACCGTCTTGGCGCTGATCTTCACACGCGACACGGTGGCACCGGTCAGGTTGGCGCGCGTCAGGTTGGCGCCAGACAGCGCTGCCTGCTCCAAATTGCACGCGGTCAAATCCGCACCGTTCAGCTTTGCGCTGGTCAGCTTGGCGGCCTTGATGCTTGCGCCGCTGAGCACAGCGCCCTCGAGATTGCACGCGTGCATGTCGGCGTGGTCGAGCGCGGCTGCGGACATGTCCGCCTCTGTCGCCACCGCCATTTTCATGTACGCGTGCGTGAGAGTGGCACCTGTTAGGTTGGCGCGTGTCAGGTTGGCCCTGCACAGATTTGCACCGTGCATGTTCGCCTTGCTCAGGTTTGCGCCTGGTGTTCGGTCGAGGCCACGGGGTGTTGAGGTATTCATCCACCAACAGTGAGGGACACATCAATAGTGAACACGCAGAGACATCGAGACACACAGAGTTAGGTGTGGGGAGAAGTACAGAGTGTGTGGGAAGCATGCGTACACCAATGTCCATACAAACACACACGCACAAGCACATAACGCAAAAGGTCAAAGCAAAGGGGCAAAGCACACGCAAGCACACATCACGCAAAAGGCCAAAGCACACGCAAGCACGGAACACACCGCAACACACACACACATAACTCACGACATACACACACATAAAACTCAACACGACACAGAACACAGCACAAAACACACAAAGCACGACACGCAAGTACACACGAAGCCTGACCTGTGAGGTCGCAGCGGTTGAAGTTGATGTGCTGCAAATCGGCGCCTTGCAGCAGCACCGCCCGCAACACTGCACCCTTAAAAGCGCCCTTCTCCTGGGTCGGGAACGCGCTCTCAAATGCATCCTCAACTGTACCCTTGGACGCACGCGCGTTTGGTGACAGCAGCACGGCGCCGCTCAGGTCTGCACCTGTCATGTCAGCGTTGGTGAAGGTTGCGTCGCCCATGGTCGCGTGGGAGAGATTGGCGTCACGCATGTCTGCACGTGCGCAGGAAGCCCTGCGGAGGTCGACGTGTGTCATAATGGTTCCCACCATGACGGCGTCGTCCAGGCGCGCGCGCTCGAAGTTGCAGTTGCTCATGTCAAACCCGCTGACGTCGCACCCAGCGAGCGTGCAGTCGCTGAAGTTGATGTCGGCGCACACGGGAGGCAGCAGTGCACGCGACAGATCCGCTTCTGGTGGGGGGGGCACAGAGAGCGTGTGAGAGTGAGAATGAAAGTGTTTGTGTGTGTGTGTGTGTGTGTGTGTGTGTGTGTGTGTGTGTGTGTGTGTGTGTGTGTGTGTGTGTGTGTGTGTGTGTGTGTGTGTGTGTGTGAGAATGAAAGTGAGTGTGTGTGTGTGTGTGTGTGTGTGTGTGAGTTAGACAGTGAGCGAGTGATGAAAAGGGAGAGAGAGGGGGGTTAATGTGCCGGTGTCCGTGCTCTTGGTGAGCTGCGTGAGTGTAAGCGCAGAGGTCGACATTCGGAAAGGAAGACAGATGGACTCTTGTCTTGGCAGCAGGAGGCGACAAAAGAACAAAAAAATACTAACTCTCTGAAACACTTACACATGCACGCACGCACACACGTGTACGTACACACTTACACACTTACACACGTACACACTTACACACGCACACACGCACACATGCACACACGCACACACGCACACACGCACATGCACGCCCAACCTTTGAGGCTGAAGGAAGAGAGATCGGTGTTGGTGAGGTCGCAGGCGCAGAGCTTCGTGTTGGGGAATGTAGCGTTGGTAAACACGGCGTTCTGCAAGACGGCACCCGTCATGTCTGACTGCCTCACGGTGGCGCTCGTGAGGTCTGCGTCCGTGAAGGTGCACGCGGTCATGGTGGACTGCTGGACACTTGCGCCGGTCAGTCGTGCGCGTGTTAAGTTGGCGGCTTTGAGCGTGCACTGCCGAAGCGTCGCAGCGCTGAGGTTTGCACCTGACGACGCATGTACAGTGTGATGATTTCATGAGCGGTGCGAATGGAGAAAGCAAGAGGCACAAGCGCTGCTGCGGTGACAATCACCATTTCGAGCACAGACACAGGCACACACACGCACACGCATATACACGCACACACCAACACTATGTGCATGCAAGCAATGATAATCAGACCCACGTACGCATGGACGTGCGCATACCTGTCAGGTTTGCGTTGGCAAAGTCGCCATCGATGATTGTGGAAAAACTCAAATCTGCATCAACAAGCGTTGCGCCATGAAGGCCCGGCTGCTGCTGCTGCTGCTGTGGCTGCCTCTGCATGTGCATTTCCATCGTATTCTTTTTCTTGCACGCGCTGCAGCTGCCAAAGTTGAGGGTGGCATTGCTCACACGGGCACCGGTCAGGTCCGCGCCGTGCATGATGGCGCTCTTCACTGTTGCGTCTCGAAGGTCTGCCCGTTGCAGCTGGCAGTCGCGCATGTCGGCATGCGTCAGATCGACGCCTGAAACCGAGGAGCGGAAGGTTCAGCGTAAGATGGAGAGCAGCATGATAGAGAGGGGGGCAAACACGCAGGTTGTCACGCACACATTGTCACACACACACACACACACACACACACACACACACACACACACACACACACACACACACACACACACACACACACACACCTCGGAGGTCAGTGCCACGGAGGTTGCACTTTGAAAGGTTGGAGTGGGCGAGACAAGCGCCCGCGAGGGTGGCATTGGTGAGGGTTGCCTCGACAAGCTTGGCCTGGGAAAGGTTGCTGTTGCCCAGGTTTGTGTTGGTGAGGTCGCAGCGCACGAAACTGCAGCCGCGCAAGTCAAGGTCACCCAGGTCCAACCCAGAGAGGTTGAGGCCGTTGAAGACGATGCTCGTCGTGGAGCACGATTGGCCCAAGCCGCTGTTGTACAGTTGCATGAACTGGGTCTGGGACAGCTGTGGTGGCTTCCGCCGCAGCTGCTCCAGTGCTTCGGTCAACGCCGGCAGGTTGAAAAACTCTGCCTCGGCTTGCACGCGCTCACGCATGCTGTGGTGTTCTGCGACGGCGCCACGCACAACGCCGGTGCGTAGCCAGTGCAGCACATGCTCGAAGGCGGCACCGTCTCGGTCGATGAAGAACGCGTACCCGCCCGTGGCAGAGTACACCGCAGCCTCCTTGGAAAACGTGGCTGCGAATCGGCTCCCATCGGCCCTGCCTGTTGTCAGCGTTGGCACCGTGGTGCGGTACACCACGCCTCCAACATCCAGCTCCACGCGCGTCTCCGCGCTCACGGTCGGCAGCTCAAGCTCCATCGTCGACAACTATCCGGCTGGCTGGTGGTCGCGGTGAATGGGTGTTGGTGCGTGTGGAACTGTGTGTGTGTGTGTGTGTGTGGAACAGCAGAGGAAAAAAGGTGCACCGCCGTCGCACTGACACGGCTGTATGCGACACCACAATGATTTTGCTGAGTATTCTCTTCCACACCAACAAATCCTCAACAATCAAGATGGTGAGCCAGCCAGTGAAGGAG